TTATTTTTTAAATTTTTCTTCTGTTAAAGTTAGATTTCTTTTATTTTTTAATTAAAAAATAAAAAAAACCTGGAATGATTAATTAATTTGTCAGAAACTGTAAGCCCTATCGGAAAGTGATGAATATACGGTTTATGGAGAATTTCATTGGCTTTCATTAGCCGTATTTTATATTAAGATTTTTAAATTTGTTCGTAAGATATACGTGATTAACAGGAAAAAAATGTTGCTTTAAGCTGAATAACGGTAAATTGCAAATATCCCGAAAACGTATCCATAGAAAAAAAATTAACTCGATTTTCGGAATCACCCAGCAATTCTAAATAGGAATTGGATAGTGGCATCCATAGGACATTTTTGCTGTTAACCAGTGTTATTAAAAGAAAAAATTAAACAAGTAATTAAGCAAAAACAAATCGACTTCTATTCTCATATAAAAATTAAAGATTATCGTTAATTTCTTCACGACCCAATTATCGGATCTAAACAAAACCACCCTTGAGGTACGACCTTTTCGACGAAAAAAGAATTATCGAAATCTGTTAACGTGGTCCAAAGTTATGCGGTAACATACATAAAAAAATAAAAATATTCCGACGAACTGATAACCTTCTCCTTTTTTTGAAATCGGTTAATAAGATCACTGCGGTAAAGATAGGCAGAAATTCCGCGTTTAAAAAGTGAAAAGAAATTTGAAAATTTCTTATGAGTAGTGAAGTCTGCGGAGAACAAATTCAACATAACGTTATTTCCAATCCAGGACCTGCTGCCCTAATCGGTGGAAAGCTCGAGCCTTCAAATGATGAGTTCTTGTTGTAGCTGTAGCGGCTACTACAACCCCGCCCAGATCGGTTTATATCTCAGTCGTTGTCGCCAAGCCCCACTAACGGAAGCCCTAGGAAGCGTGCAGCCTCAATAGGGTCGGTCCACAGGGACAAAGGCGTTAGGGTTGTCGGGTTTTCCGAACATACGAAGAGATGTTTCGAGTCGTGGGGTGTCTCTCCGCATGCCGGACACTCATTTGGCACATCTACGTCTAATCTGCTCAGGTATGAGTTTAACCTGCTGCAGTAGTCAGAGCGAAGTTGGGCAATTGTGGTTCTAGTCTCCCGAGGCAGATGAAGCTCCGTCTCGTCGATGTCCGGTGGTTGTGCGCCTAGAACGGCATTCACAGGTCTGGAGTCTACATAACTCGAGACTGACTCCCTGTGAATGCCGCTCAGGGCCTGTCGATAAGCTGACGGGTCCAGAGGTTCTTTAATTACCCTCTGGACTTCGTCCGTCAGTTAGTAGAGATCCCTCCTGACGTGCCTGGGCAAGGGTTCTTCTGCAAGCAGTTGTCTATTTGGGTGACTACGTCTATGGCTCCCAACTAGAAACTGCTTGCAGAGCATTGTGTTGTGCTCCTTGATTGGGAGCATTTTCGCCTCGTCGTGTTCTGACGACATCAGAAGGCATCCAGATGCTGTCCGTAGTGCGGTGTTCTGAGTAGTCTGCAGCTTCGTCCACTGCGTCCTACTAGGCTCCGGCGACAACACTGGTGCTGCGTAATTTAAAACCGGCCGGCTATTGCCTTGCATTTTGCCAGCAACGTTTCTTTGTCTTTGCCCCAAGTACTGCCGCCTAGCGACTTGAGGACCTTGTTGCGGCTCTGTACTTTGTTGACAATAGCGGTTGCGTACGCAGAGAAGGAGAGCAGACTGTCGAAGGTTACTCCGAGTATTTTGGGGTTATTCACCGTCGGAATTGGTGTATCATCGACAGTGTCCAGATTGGGCGATTTAGCGATTTTTTTTTTTGGATATTTGAGCGTAAAAATTTCGGAAATCGGCTTTGGCGATTTTTGGCAATTTTTTCCCTTCAAGTCAATTTTTTGTGCGCTATTATGTAAAGGCCTCGAAACCCCAGATAAGTAGGTTATGGAGTTAGAGCTTTAATTTTGATGTGGCAACACTTTTTATTGTTATTGATTTTGTTGTAGCATATCGTAGAGCTGAAAAACTATCGATAGTGTTGCCACTCGATAGTTTCGAAAGTTTAAGTTTTGCACCATAGGCGGTATCGATAGTAACGTTTCGTTTTTAATGGGTAATTGAGTTTAGAGTTGCACTTTTATATGAACTTTTTCGCTTTATTTAAATACTTGTTTTTCACCAATAAATTTAAAATTTGAATGATAAAGTAGTGGAAATAGAGAAGAAACTATCGATAGTCATAAAGCCTATCGATGGCGACTTCAACTATCGATAGTAACAACCTAAAAACGACACTATCGATGGTGTCGATAGTGGCAATAAAAGGCAAGCCAGCAATAGTTTTCCAGCTCTAACATATCGAGCGTTTGCCAATATTAAACCACCGTTTGTGACAACTCCCGCTGAATGTGAAATTTGCAATTTCATTTGTGGAAATAGCTGGGCTCGAATCGTAACATCCGTTCACGGATCGGAAACCATACGAAAGAAAATTACGTTTTACGTCAGTCGTATAAGCGTTCACGTATGTCATAATCTGAAAAATGTGTTTTTACGTGACGAGTAATACAATATCGTATGTGACGATTTGAGCCCTGATCTCGCCCTTTTGTAGCTTTTATTTTATTTTTAGCGCCGATCGCTTAAAAGCGGATTGTGCCATTAATCAATTAATATGAGGTATAATAAACTTATTAATTGCGCAGACCTATTGGAAAATGTGTCAATACAAATATTTTTGAAAAGTATGAATATAAAAAAAAAAAATGCGTGTACATCACTATCATACAAGTGAAATGTGTTATTTATTATATTCGTTCTTCATTTTAAAAACTATGTTATAACAAGATCTCATTTTTTAAATAAAAGATTTTTTAAGCCGATTTCATGAATTTTATAAAAAATGTTGGGGGTTTTTGGCGATTTTTTTCGGAAATGGCTCTTATCTTTTTAAACAATCTGGACACCCTGATCATCGACGTGCATTCCCAGCGGTAGCCTGACCTCCTTCGTCCAGGTGGTGAACAAGATCGCAGAGGACTTTGTAGGGGAGAGGGTTAGGCTTCTTGCAGTGAAGAAGCGAGAAAGCTCGGAGAGATACCCGTTTACTCTCGAACACAAGTCATCAATTCCATTCCCAATGATGAGTTCTCCTTATCCTTGCTTACTTTCACATTAAATAAAAATTATATAAAATTTTTTTCAGAAATCT